TGGGGTGACAAGGAACAGTGGTAATAAGCTGATGGAGAACAGGTTTAGGTTAGAGATCAGGAGGCAATATTTTACAGTTAAGGAGGCTAGAATCTGGAACCAACTTCCCAGGGAAGTGGTCCTCACCCCTACCTTGGAAATTCAAAAAGAGGTTAGATGATCATGTGTCTGGGGTCTTGTGAACCCAGCATTCATTCCTGCCTGTGGCAGGGGGTCAGGGTAGATGGTCTGTTCAGGTCCCTCCTGACCCTAGCTACTATGAAACTATTAGCAATACAGTTCTCCTGGCTCATATGTTACCGTAAAATCTGCTTTGTATTAAAAATATTAAAACCCATCAGTCAATATTTAAAAAAAAACAAAATCTTGAACATTTAAGTTTGTCTTGAATTTTGCTATTATAGCAAAACAGCCCCATCCCTGTAGACAAAAAAACTACATGAGTCACCTTGATTCCATTTCAATGTCTGTGCATTAGGACAAAAAAAAAAAAAAAAAAAAAAAAAAAAAACTTACCTAGCAGCTTCTGTAGTGCAGGTGGGGTGGGAGTCACCAACAGCTGGTTAGATGAATGCCGTTGCACCTTCGGAGGTAGTTGGTAATATGGACTATGAGGTGACTTGTATGCATCTAGTAAGGGAATGCAGGCCACATTTTAAATAATGAAATCCAGCAATTTTGGCACATAGAAGAGATTATTTCTGTCAGCCAGGAGCACATTTAACACCAAAAGATCCAGTAATTTGGCCACGTTAACGTCAGGCAACAAGACCATGTTTGGAATAATCCTCAGGATGTGTGCGCAAATCACTGGGCCATAATCTTAATTCCACTTTTCTGCTACAATTCCTAATGGACACATTTAGATTACCATTAACAGACAGTCTGGGGCTCCATCATCCCACCTGGAGGGGAGGTGATATAATGACATGAAGCAGCTAGACATAGCGATGTGTTTTATTTCAGGTGCAGAGAACTAAACAATAAAAAGGAGGGGCTTAAGAGTCTGGTTTCTGAAAAAAAACCCACTTCTAAACATTTACTACGGCTAAAACAAAACGTTCTCCTGGACACTAACAACAGGCTCGTATGCTCCATGGCAAAAAGGCTGCTCCACGGCAATGATGAATGGCTTGAACTTACCCTGAGGAGAGGATGAGGATGTCTGTGACACAGTTTGAGCATGCAGAAGCTCCAGTGCAGTTTGGTTCTTCTTGGTCTTGCGGTCCATATTTGTATTGTTCATCTTCTTAGGACGCCCTCGTTTCCTGCCTGCCATTTTCCTTCCTTTTTTACTCAGCTTCTTCTTGCGTGCTTTGGAGGGAGATGGCTTCTTAACAGTGTTTGCCCCAGCTTTTTCTTCTTCAGGACCAGAATCCTGTAAGAGTTTGAAGAACAAAAGTTCTTTAATAATATTAGACCGTTTCTTTTTCCAAAACATTAGCGAATTTTGAAAGCACCCCTCTCGAAGGGCAAGCAAATAACATTCCCAGTTTATAGAGGGAAGCCATGGGCGTCTCTACACGTGTATTTAGGTGTGCATAAATTTAAATGCGCCTTTGCTTAAGGTGCATTAAGGCGATTTAGGTGCACGTCTACACATGGACGCACTAATGCACATTAAATTTAGGCATGGATAACTAAGTCACATCAGTGCACGTGCAGATGCACTACTGCATATTAACGCGGTGTCTATCCATTGACACACCGCGTTAATGAGCATTAGTGCATCTACACATGTGCTAATGCAACTTAGCTATCTATGCCTAAATTTGATACCTGCTTTATGCAGGTATCAAATTTAGGCTCACGTAGCCTTAAATCACCATTTTTAAAGGTGCACTAAGGGTGCAGACATGTAGACATGCTCCCTTAACACACCTTAAAAGTGGCAATTTTAGGTTAAGCCCACTTAGAAGAGGCACATGTAAACACGCCCAGAGCTTAAGTAACTTGCCCAAGACAAAGACAGTCAATGTTGTATCTGGGATTAGAACCAGTCCTGGGACCCAATATGCCGTGCTCAAGATCCTATACAGCCTCTCTTCTCAGTCAGCTCACTGCAGAGCTGGCTTCCCCAAACTCTTCTCCATATAAAACTGCACACTTAGTGCTAGCTCTTTATTTACAACTACTGTATTACATTCTGTTAAAATCCTGATATTACTTTTCACATGGATAATTTATGCATCTAAGGCAGGGAAATTACACAGCTGCAAATTAGAAAGGAAGCAGCCTTTATAATAAATGAGAAAGGTGGTAGCACACATACTAAAATTAAGTCTGGTGTGGCCTATGACATGGTCTGGGAATCCATACTTGAGACTAAAGGCTTGCTAACCCAGGGAAAATGACCAGAATCCCTACTGTCCCAGAATAACTAGGGCACTAATTATTCTGAAATTATGTTTTCTGGAACAGCATATCCACAGGGAGAGCTACTCCAGATTAACTTCTCTGAAATAAAACTAATCTAGTTAATGTCCCTATGCAGACAAGTGCAGATCACAGCTCTGCACCTTAGCAAACAGAAAACCTTTTTTTTTTCTATGAAAATGTAAGAGGGAAGTGACCTTGTTTTCGTGCACCTTTGTCGGAGTTGTTGTGTTGCTCTTGTTTTCTCTTTGCTGACGACGTCTAGCTGCCTCTTGTTCCTCCTGCACAAAATGCCAAGGGAGGTATTAAAAAAAAATCCACATGACTCACCATTTGCTGCTCTATTTCTCCCTTTCAGAGTCAGACCTATCAGTGTTACCCAACTAGTTCTTCTATGATAGCCAAAGACAATCATTCACTCTGACCAGTCCTTACACATTAAAGGAAAGAACATCTTTTGGTACCAGGGAGGGAACACTGACCTATTCTGCTTCAGACAATGAGTTTAGCTTAGTCTACATTACCAAGTTCTGCCAACAGTACTATGCTAGCTATGCCAGTTGCCAACATGCCTATGCCAGCAAAACACCCAATGTGGATGCAATTCTGGCAGCTAAGCTGCTGCCGCTGTGGGACCTGGCGTAATGGATGGCAGAATAAAATTCTACTGACAGAGTTGCATCCACACCAAAAGGCCCAGCTGCTTAGCAAAGCTGTGGCCACTTTAATCTAGGTACTATACTTGAAAGAGTTAGAGAGTTAGATATTGGAATTTTTAAAACAAGCCTGTGTTAAATATCAATGGCTCTGTTTATATCTCACATTAAATATGCCGTTATATCACTACAGAATTTTTAAGGGACTTGAAATGGAAAAGCCATGAATCGAGTCTTAGAAACCTTGCCTAATTTAATCCGCGCCAAGTCCGTCCTTAAGATAATCAAGATGAAAGGAAACGGAAAAAGCATATTACTTGACTGGCCACTAAGAACTGCTTCCGGAAACAGTGCTTTAATTCAAGCTCAGCACACGGCCAGAAGAGGCATAACATTAGTGGGATCTGGCTCGTCCACCATCTGTATAGACTGGGCACTTCAGGAGGGCCTTTTGGCATTTTTTATCTAATAGCTGATTGAATGAGCTTTAGATAAAAGTGCAAAAAAGTCCCACTGAAGCGCCCAATCTATATAGATGCTGCAAAGATGGGTTGAACCAATACTTCTTCCAGTAAAGTGCTTTTTTCCCCCCCTCAACATTCGTCAGAGGCCCAAGATGTGAAACTTGACAGAGCTCCCAAAAAAATCCTTGTACTTTCCAGGGGAGTTAACGGCTTTATAATTCTGTAATTCAATACCTTCATCATAAAAGGTGGAGTGGGGTCACTATCCGTGTCAGTAAGAAGTCACAGAAGACAGGGCAGGGTGGCACCTTTGAGACTAACTGGTTGAGAGAGGAATAAGCTTTGTAGGCAGCACCCCACTTTGCCAGATGCTATGACACAGATGACAAGTACTTCAGCAGATCCTGTCATAGCTTATGCCCCTCTGAAACAGTCTCCCTGCCCTGCCTCATCATTAAGGTGGGGGGGAAGACCAGAGATGAGAAAGGCAGTTCCAGATAAAAATAGTTTCTCTAGGTTTATTTTTAAAAGAATATCTACATATATCTGAATACCACCCTGTGGGTTTTCTTCCTTTCCTTTCACTGTCAAAATCTCTCCCCCAAGTTTGAATTCAGCAGTCCAAAAAACCATAAGCCCTGCATCCACTAAACCCTAAATTCCCAACTACCATCAAAAAGTTAATTAGGAGGACAACGACTAAGCCCTAAAACTACATCAAGAAATCCCACATATCAGACACCTTCCAAATGCATACGCTGGAATTCTAGCCTCACAGCCTCTCTCTAAGCTGTCATGTGATGTGTCCAATTCAGCACAGCACAATGTCTCAGAAACCTCTGGGGTCTGAGCTGCTTGCACAGCAGTAACGAATTGTGGCCAACATTATAAGTCACATTTCAGAATTAATAAGGTGACTGACAGTAGTAACTGAAAACCCTCTTCTTTCTCTCAATCAAGATTCATCATCAAGAAAGAAAGAATTGTCCATCTTAAAAGTCTGGTTCTTGAGTGCAACAAGCATTAACAATCTGTTATGTAGACAACATAAATGGAAGATTGCCACACCTTTCGGCATCTCCACTGATGTTTAACTACTACAGATTTCTTTGATATGCTACCAAGACACTACTGCCATCTCGCGTTACTTCATTCTAATGACATTAATTTTCTAGAGGTATCTTTCTTGAAGAATTCAAAACACATTACCCCATCTGTTTCTGATGAACTTATCAAGTTAATTTTTAAAATCAGCATACTGAATGTTCCATCACATTGAGCACATTATACAAAAAAATACCCACAACTTACCCTGAGTTTTGGATTTTTGAGACTAGAAAAATAGTTTTCAAGCTGAAAAGGGAAAGATAAGAGAGTCATTCTATACATCAGAATAGACAGATGTGTAAAAACAAAAACATTAACTGCTAAAAGGAGGGCAAAACTGTAGATATTCTTATGACTTCCCTTTTGATAAGCTACATCAGAAAGTCAACTTCCATTTCATTCTTTTTGAGGAGAAGCAAATGTGTGCTAGTGGGATTCAGTCCAAGCCTCAATGTGGTTTATCATCCTCAGTGCAGCCTATCCTTATTATAAAGCTTTGTGTTATATATCTCTGCTCAGCAGAAGGTTATATTCAATAGGAGACTACTTTAGTCCGGTAGTCCACCAAAATAACACATTTATCTCCATTCTAACATACACATTCACAACGTAAGCACCAACAGAGTTACCTGGGCTTAAAAGAGAAGTTTATACCATTAGGTTACAAAAATTCAGATCATGAGGGTAAAGCATTCTTCTGCAAAATAAGAGTTCACACACATATGTAGGTTTTTCTTACAAAACTGAAAAAAAATGAATGCATAACCATATTCAGAAAACACATGTTAAATCTAGAACAACTTAAGAATTCAAATAGAGAATTATGGGCTTAATGCAAAGGCACACAGCACATTTAAAAAAAAAAGATCAGATTCCTTCTGTTGGTTCTTTACTCAGAATAAAGAATCTAGTAGGGAACATCAACAGCTCCAATGAACTACGGTGCAGAAGGGAGTTGTGTTTCTTCATCTGTATAACTCTCTTTAACTAGCTGATTTACATACAGACTACCACAGTGCTATGCCCAACCGCATTTCTGAAAAACCTGCTGCTATGAAAGAGTCAAAGGTTCATAATAATGATGGTAAACTGCAATTTGTACATGTGCTGCATGCTGAATGCGTAAGTTGGTTGTGGGTAAAATGCAATCCACTTCAACAAGAGCCATATTGCACTTCCATAAAAATTCAGAGGGAATCTTAAGGAAGAACCTAATAAGCTTACTCTGAGATTACTACAGTGCCTTCAATTAAAAAAAGAGTTCCATTAGCCAGCATTTACACTTACTATGGTTCGATCAATAGTATGCAGGTAGTAGGAAACTGGTTTCCCTGTCCACGAAACAGACCCTTTCAGTGGTGATAATTCCACAACTCTCATTATAGTGCCAATGTCTAAAAAGAAAAAAATCCATATTGGGGTAAAGTTCACCTCATTTCCCACTGCTTATCAAGAGCAAAACCGGTCTAGCATTCTCTAGGTATGTTTACATGGCAAAAGTAGCCCTGTGCAAAAAACACCCTTCCTTTCTCCCCACTGCAGCCAATCCAGCTGTCACTAGGCCCTTCATCAATTCTATAGTGAATTTTAGAAAAAAAGAACTTCAGAATGAACTATAAGAAATGTACACTAACCCCTAAACAGAAAAATATTTAGTTACATTAAACAGTGTTAGTTAACTAAGATGAAGAAACACTGAAGTTTATTTTAAAAATCATGTCCTTACTTTTTTCCACATGCCACATTTACCTAAAGCATGCATATAAAGCATCTACATTTCTACTTTTTCTTGCAAAGATCTTCAGCCAATTTGGAGTAAAAAGCTACACAAAACCATCTGTGCCTCGAAAACCATCCTGTCCACAACTACAATAGTCTGCATAGGATGCAATTACTTTGCAAATGTAAAATGTTCACATATCCTAGCTAAAACTTTGGATGTGGCAAAAGCTACAGAAGTTCCATAACAGGACTCTGCTCAGTCCCACCATAAGTGCTTGTGCATTAAGGACAAGCACGTTTTAAACTATATTTCAACTGTTTTGCTGTCTACACTCATCCTATACCTACCAATTCCAAGTATTTCTATAACCAACAAATGCTCAAGTGAATGGCGTGACTGTGTAGAAGAGATTATGGATACTCACTTCCGCTTAAAGAGATGTTGAACCAGTGAAGAACGAATGAATTCAAATGGTATTTAGAGCAAATGAGTTCAATAAGTCTGATCACTAGTTTACCACACTTTAATACTGGTTCTTAGTTTGTCCCAACTTTCTCCTTTTGCTGCATGACCCACTTATTGATCATTTGCTAATAGAAATTAAAATCCCAAAGAGCAGTCACCTTAAAGAAGAGCTTACAGGGGGAAATTTCATCCTTGCCTATGCCACTTCATTCCTGAAAGCACTTTACCACACGGGTTTTAAAAGCAAAGCGGTAACAGGAAGTAGTAGATGGTACCGGCTGCCTCAAGTCAAAGCAAAAACGCTAAGTAAAATTGTTTCTGGGAAATACTGATAAGACGGCAGCATGAGGGACCATGGCATAGAGCAAATGCACACACCTGCCTGCTACATCAAGGAAATGCAGAATCAGGTCGTGAACTCTTTAAGTGGATGGCATTTCCCTGAAATCTGCCCTCCCCCCTTTGGGAAAAAAAGCCATTAGGACTGGAATGAGTCCTAGAATATTGCAGGCATGTATATTCAGCATTATATATAGTCCAGGTGAAGTAGTTACTAGGTGGGACTGACTGCTGCAATACAATTTCCACTGTATCCATGATGCAAAGGTAATTTCTTTTTATGCCCACTTATCTAAATTCTTTTAAGAGTTGCTGTAGAGGAAACAGATTCCTCTGCAGCTGGTTTACAAAAGGGGCCCATAATGATAAACATATAGCAAGGAAGCTGGGATGAAGAGCCGATGACCAACTGAAGATTTTTAAAAGGAAAGGTCTCATCAATATAAGTCTTAAGGGAGCCGTGACATTTCATCTCTTTTTTGATATTTTCGAGGCACCAATCACTTTGATGCCTTAGCTTTAAACACACAATAGCAGGCTTCTACTTCTTTTCAGCGCTTTTCTTCTTTACACAAAGAAAGCAGATGCTGAATGCCAAATATTCAAATCTAAGAAATGAGAAAAGCCAACATTACCACTCAAGTTTCGACTATTTATTCTAAAATTCAGAGGTGCAAAAGGTTTTGAGGACACGATTCTGCCACCTGGAAAAAGATATAATAGAGCCGATTAAATGAGATTACTCACTTACTGTCCTAATTGAAGGAAGCATGAAAGCAAACCAATTAAAGGTTTTTTAGAGCTTTCAGTTTTAATAATCTAAGGAAATGGTACTCCACTCTTCTTTTAGTCTGTACAAACATTCAAAAGGACAAAGATCTTTTCTTACCTAGATTCTTTACTGATTCTCAAAGTTTTTTTCTACAGAACAAAGGAACTTACAGATCATAGTTTAAGCAGCACTTATCTAGGGTATGAATCCTGGTGGAGGTGGAGTTTTTACAATTTATCTTAAATGGTGTCATTTTTAAGTAAAGAACAAAGCTCTTAAAGCATTAGCCATTACCAAACTTGTACATAAACAGGATAAATACAAATAGAATTGATTAAAGATGAAAAACGCATTCCAGATTAGATATTTAAAACATTACGAAGGATGCCGCAGTGAAAAAGCCCTTCTGTCACAGAAACGATTTGCATACATATATAATAGCAGCAACATTTAAAACAATGCAATACATTTTATGTGGTTTCTTATGATGCCCATTGACTTTTACAGTAGCGGCTGCGTGCTAAAGATAGCCAGTCAGAAATGGATAACATGTAGTAGAGCCTACTAACATTAAAACTATGTACAAAAAAACCTCTCGGTACTTCTAATGGGCGGCACAAATAGTAGAATCAGCAGCAGCTCTCATAGCAAACGAGAAACTAATGGGGGGAAAAAAAGAAGAGTTTAAGTTCAATGCATTACCTTCCTTCATGTTCGCAAATCGCTCCTTCAGTTGGTGATCCACCTCAGGACCAAAGGCAAAATTATTCACAAAAATAACACTGCAAGATAAGTCTAGTCAATAAACAGGAACAGACAAATGGCATTTCAGTATACACAAACCGCTAACCCTCCGAAATCTGTAAAGCTCTATGAATGATAATCACTACCGTCAAACACAAGAATGCTGCCAAGTTTGTATAGCCAGTGTCCCAAGGTTGTATAGCCATTTCCCTTGAGAAACATAATGTTTCTCCTCGTGCAAACTCCACTATGCAAAAAGTTAAAAATGGGTATTCACAGATGTTGCTGAAGTAAATTACATTAAAGGAAACGTGTTATATTATGACACTTTCATTCATCAGACCAGTAGCTTCTGCACTATGAATTCATTAGCTAGCAACCATGTTGGCAAGGTTCACCATTGTAACGTTACAAACGTTTTCCCCCCTATGTCTGGCAGCTTCTTTAAAACACATGTGAACAGAGCTACTGTTGACATGTTTATGGCACTCAGCAAGCTCCCCTCGAAGAGGGAAGATAGCCCAGCTTGACAGACCCCCCGTGCATGCAATTCTTTCTGCAAAATTACCAAATGGCTATATAGAAACAGGATGGCAAAACAGCATAGCTCCTTTACAACATTAATATCAAAGACATTTGCATAGATCATTCCTTTCTCCCTATTCTCTCAATGTGTCTTGCTATCATAAGCTTTCCTTACACTCCAGTTAACCTCTCTCATGATTAGGTTTAAGTTTGTGTAGGGTGTTCACTTAAAATATCAAAGCCTTGAAAGGAGAAATCCAGCAAGTTGCAAAAAGGAATAAAAAAGGGGGGGGAGGGAGGCAGGGGAAGGGGAAGACAATCATAAGTATCAGGAAGTGAGAAACCACTTCAGCCAAAAGTAATAAGCAGCAGGGCACATGATGAATGGAAAATCCATATTTTATTTCAGCTGCGACTTTAGGTACAGACGCATGTACACGTAGAGCCGCTTCAAAAGGGGAACTTTTCAAAGTGGCAGCAGCTGTTACGTTCCAATTTATACATGTGGAAAAAAGTCAGGAACAACACTGTAGCAAAACTTTGCCAACTTCAGCATTACTTTATCCAGAGTTAAAGTAGGAGTGGTTTTACTGCAACTGCATTGTTCCTTGCTTGTCCACATGTAACGATGAGAACATAACACCGGCTGCCCTCCTGAAACTGCTCCAAATGTACACGTGTCCATACCCTTTGAAAACTAGAAATTTGGGGCAAACTTAGAAGTTCTTGATTGTCCTTGATTTCTAATGAACTCAATGGAAAAAGGGATATGCAACTCAAAATATATTCATCCCCTTGCAAGATCAAGCTAGTTAAAGAGGCCTACAAAATGCTGTTTAAGACAGTTTATTTCTTTGCGAGAGGAGCTAGTTTGGAAACTTCCCCTTCTGGTGCCTCCGTGCAAGAAACGTGCTGAAGAGCAGCAGCCAAAGCCATTTAAAACCACAACTGAAAAAAGATCTATGTGCCAATAAAATATATATATGCTCCCTGCCCCTGCTTATGGTTATTTGGGAAACCCTGTCTGTCTGGCAAGCGAGGCCATAAGGGGTTCCTTCCTTGTACTTTCCACTTCTATGTCAAATAGAGGCCTCATGAGCACAACCAAACATATTAAAGTCACCAGAGAATCATCAGGGGAGAAAGGAAAAAAGACAAAGTTAGCCAGAAATCTCTCTCTCTCTCTCTCTCAAATGCTCACTCAGAATACTTGCTTTGCACACTGATAGCAAAAGAGCTATTTTTCCCTTATTTGGCTGACTGCCTTGTAAGTGCATAGCTCTAAGTCACAAGCATGGTCAGTAGAAATTAAAAATGCCCCACATCTTGCTTAAATATCAGAAGTTTAAGCATGAACTAAAACAAGAATTGTCCACACAAAACTGCAAATGTACTTTTAAGGGTGTGGGCCTCCTACAATAAAAGAAGGGCAAAGTAAAGCTGGGCCATATACCAACTGATCCACTAATTTCAATGTAATTAGTGGCAATTACTGAATAATTCTGCGATTGCAAGCAAGTTAAAATGCGTAGAGTTTTTGGATGAAGAACTACTACTTTAAGAACTTCTGTTGGAAGGAGGTGGTGATAGTGATATGGTACAGTGACAATTAACTGCATCACGCAAAGTAACTAAGATCTACTGGCATTTGCTGATGCAAAACAGGAGACCATCTACATTCAAAAACTGTTAGAAAGAAATGGAGGAAAGCTGTACAGGCCACAGAGGGGTGTATACTTAAAACAGCAAATGACAAACAAAGCAAAACCACACCACAGGGTGGGGACAAGTCTGCCTACAAACTAAAAGCCAGCCCAACAAGTCTTTACTAGGATACATAATAATGCAACACTCATCAGCCTAACAGGCGCCTTTTTCATGGAGTACTCTTGGAAACCACCCATAACTTGCCACAGCTGGGAGATTTTCAAAAAGCCTTTCTATCAAATGTCTTTCATTTTGTCAAGTAAGAGCTTGACCTAGGAGGTCCTTGCCAGGGAGAGCCTATCACAGTAGGTAAGCTCTCTGAATATAAGACCTTGCACAAAAGTTGAGGGATGGGGGAAGGTTGAACATGTTGCTCCCTCTTCTGGTAGCACAGACTCTATGGGCACTGACAGATGGAGGGGTGGGGGGCAGAAGGGAGGCAGAGCGGACACATACAAGAAAAAAAAAGAAAAAGCGCGCTTTCCAGAAGAGGAAGCACATTAGTTTGACCCAGCTCCCCAGCATCTGTACAGATTGGGCACTTCAGTGGGGCTTTTTGGTGCTTTTATCTAAAATCTGATTCAATCAGTTATTAGATAAGTGCCAAAAAAGCCCCTTTAAAAGGGCCCAATCTATACAGACATTGGATGATCTGGGTCCAACTAACGTGCTGCCTTTTCTGGGCTCAGTGCAGGAGCACGTGGAATTTGAAGTAAAGTGCCAAGGCTTTGCGGGGTTTTTTTTTGTTTGTTGGTTGGTTGGTTTGGTTTAACTTTAGCAAGCAGCCTAAAGCGCTACTTTGTCTGTTTGCTTCTCATGTCTGTAAGCAGCCTATGTGATACGTAGATCTTCACTTGGGGGGGAACATTCAAATACCCAAGATGACCGGTTCAACAGAAGAGCCAGTGTAAATGAGCACAGGCTTATTATGAAGATATACAGCTATCTTAACCACATGATCTGGCATCCATTAAAGCTGGTACATATTCAAGAGTCACAAACTCCAAGAAAGTGAAGATACAAAAGGGTCTATTCTTTATCTATGGAACAGGAATGTATTCTGGCTACTCCCATTAAGGGGGACATGCATTTAAACTCGTTCTCCCTTACACAATTCTACTGTAAAACTGGCAGATTTGCTTTAACTGATAGCTACAGAAATTCTATATTATGAGCTGGCCATCCTCCCAGTTTCCATTACATAAGCTGACAAGTATTAACATTTCAAAAGAAACCATAATCAATTACTCTACTGTACCTTGTGTTTGCAATTCGCTCTCTCCATTCTTCTGAGAGGAAGTCACCTCTTTCCAGCTAAATAAAATAATAATAAAAAATTAACATCTCTTCTTCCAGCTTTTTCTTTTTTTTTTTTTAAAGTACAAAGAGAAGACAACTAACATGGTAGATCTCCTCGATGATGCTGATTATAAGAAGATACTCTAAATCTGCATTAAATACACATATCCCTCCAAGTTCTCTCTACAAGGCCTCCCTTTCTGCTGCCTACTCCCTACCCCAGCTGCCTTTTTACCGCAGAGGAGTGCCTGATATTTCGGAACATGTCACACACACACGTTCTATATCCCATACCAAATATAGAGCCTCAGGTCCGATTCTGCCTCCAGGAAACCCAGAAGTGCCACTTCCCCATGCGTCTCACTAAGCACGATCCCATTCCAGCTGAACAACTGCCGCAAAACCACTATGCCTACACTCCTTGTGCCTCTCCATTTTGACCCAGAAAGATACTGTATTAACTCAAACCTAAGATGAACCCCCCCGCCCCAAATCAGCATGGGAGGGAAAAGTCCCTCATTAGGGCCCCTCTACATATGCAGGTAAAGGTGTGATGGGATCTATTACACAATCCAGACAACCACAACTCCTGCCATGCCTGCTGAAGAGGAGAAGCAGAGGTGAGGGCAGGAGGCTGCTGTGGGTCTGACTGGCTCCAAACCGGGCTCCGGGCCAGAGTCAGAGCCAGCTGCCTGCCCTCCCTCTACTCTGTATGCAACTGTGCCATTAACTGGTTAATTGTACAATTAACAGAGACCAGCTATACATGCAGAGTACCAATCATGCCATAAAAAGGTCCAACCAACTATAAAATAAGACCTTGCAAACATGTCATAGCTTTACAGCTGGTTGCTATCCAGCTTTAAAATTTGCACACGCAGCAGGGGAGACCCATCATCTGACCCCCAGACCCTCCCAGCTCCAGGGGTGCATCACGCCCAGCTGGAGCTGGGAGTCCTACCACTGAGGGGACTCTCAGCCCTGACGGCTGCAAACTCTGGGTTCTGGCACCACCCCGTGGTGCTAGTGACCCAGCGTCCCGCAGCTGTAGACACAGATTCCCAGAAGCGCCCAGTGACCCAGCATCCTGTAGCTGCAGGTCACTGGCACTCTGGGGCGCTGCCAGGACCCAGAGTAATTGCCTAGAATCCACATCTCCTATTTCCTGGGCAGCGTGCCCTAATCACTACTGCATTTGGCAAATGGAGGATGGACCCCTCCTCAATTTACTTTACACTGGAGTCACTGCTAATGCACTCCAGGACCAGGGAAGCATATACAATTGCTGGTTGACGCAACAGAGTCGCATGCTTCCCCACGGGGAATAGGACTGTCCCTGGAGTCACTTAGTGCTGCACAATGGGAGGGTCCTACATCTTTGCAGGGCAGTATAGGTTTGGCCTCTTGGGATACCTTTGACTGTACATCTCCCTAGGTGGAGTAAGTTGACGCTTCTGAGGTGAGATGAACATCTTTGGGGCATCAGAACTGACAAAAATGTTGGATATCTTAGCGGTGAAATATTATCTAGGTCAAAATGCTTTACCGCCCTGTTAGATTCTCTTCTGCATTCAATATTCAGTCATATCAGAAACTTTAAAATGAACATATCTTCAAAACTTCACTTAGAAATAGAGAAGTATCATTCTGCAACATCAAGATTAGGCCAGTATTTGAGGAAAGTACATGCTATTAGTTCAGGATTCCTCAGTGACCAAGGACGCAACCCAACACAACTGGGTCATGACTTTCCAGCAGTGCTGAGCGTCTGCAGCTCCACTGACTTCAACCAGCTCCAAGTGCTCAACAGTTTTACAAGTCAAGCTCTAAAGAAGTCTCAACCTGCACAGCTAAGATATAAAATAAATACCACAGCCACCTTTAAAAACTGTCCTTAGGTGATCTGCCTAATGTTTCACTGATAATCTCACAGCACTTTCCACATCCCAGGTCAACACGCTTCAACCATCTGACCATCCATTTCCTACCTGTGTGTCTGGGTCTAATTCGCTCATTTCCAAACTGACATGAGAATGAGGCAGGGACTATAGCTAATTTGCTCTCAGTCCTTAAAAAGTGAATGAAGCCAACATCCTGGGGACTTGGGGAAAATAGTTTGTGACTGTATAATTAAAGACTGTGTCATAACAACAAGGAGCAGAAATAAGATCACACGATATAATTAAGTTATCCCAGCAGGACATCTAACTAAATCATTAAAATAGTCGATGCTAAAAGCATTTACAAACCACCTGTTTTCTGTAAGAGAGAGAGACTCACTGGGACAGCAATGGATACTTCACAACTGTTAAGAGTTTACAGCTGATTCTGCTTTTCTGTACTCAAACAGCCCAGTACTGCACTAACTCATGTTCCTGAAAAACATCTTCAAACTCGTATACTTTGTTCATATTAAAAATTGCCAATGTTGCTATTAGTGCAACTCCACTGGCAGTAGCTGCTGCTTTTTAGTCAAAACCCCTCCATCAAAACATGCTCCAAACAGGATTAGATGAGGTATCGAGCTTCACACCTACTCTAGTACTCTACACCATTACCTGTACTAGTGGAATTGTGCCAGCAATGGGAAGTTTTAGGGAAGAGTTCCAGTTTACATACAGCCAGGGCAAAGAAAATGCTAAAGTTTTCCACTTCAATTCTACATAAAAGTTATACTACATTAGCTCTTCGGTCCCATACTAGGCACTGTACAAGACAGGTGTTGGTCAATCTCCTGGAAATTGTCCCATCTGGAAGCAACAGCAAATTTCCAAAGAGCCCTCCTAAATACATATGCTAGTGCTTAGCTTCTGCAGTGCTCATCATGCCTACACCTAAATATATACGATTATCCATAGCAAATTTAACTCAGGGTATTTTGATATTTGAAACATACCCAATATCCGTTATATGGAATACTGAAAACACTAAAATAGCAGCACTTGGTTTATCAAGGCAAGTATTTCCAATTATGTCATTTATGACAGATGTCTTATAAAAAAAATTCCACAGAAAATCTGTGGTAGTATTTGTGAAATCAACAAACTAAAATCACACAACTAGATTTAGACTCATACAAGTCAACTAAGATAAACAATTTGCTTAAAATGATCAACAGACTTCATGGTACTGAATCTAAAATGCTAGTGCAAACAAGAAGTCACGGCAATGGTATCTCAGCCTGCTAGAATTTCTATCTGAATGTCTAGGAATTATGACGACTAGTATAATAAATACTCCATCTCCATGAAAGGGTCATATTCTCAGATTTGAGATTTCTAGAAAATGCAAGCGTCTATAAACATGGTAGAACAAAGAAAAGGGACCTCTCTTCCCAACCTATATACTAGGCCTGTGCGAAGCGGCTAGTATTCACTTTGGATTCAGCTGATTTGGGGGACAGTGATTCGATTCAGGGATTCACATCAATGTCCTGATTTGATTAAGCCGAATCAGCCAGGCCCATCCCCGCCTGCTCTCCCAGCCCGGCAATGGCTGCCCCACCCGCCCCAGCTCCAGCATTTTTTTTAAACAAGTCCCAGTGCTCACCGGGTGCTGCTGAGCACAGGGCGATCCCCGCTGCCCCCCACTGCCCCACGCTAAATAGGGGGCTCTACACAAGCCTTCTGAACCCCCCCATGGGTGCCCTGCCCAGGCTAGCTCCAGCCCTTTAAGGAAAGAAAAAGGAGAAAAGCCCCACCCTTACCACTCCTGCCAGCGCACGGGGGGAGGGATCCACACTGCCCCCCACTGTCCTGTGCCACATGGAGGGCTCTGCACAAGCCCCCAAAGCCCCAAGGCTGCTGCAGGAGCAACGAGTCCCAGGGCTTCTCAGCTTTTTTTTTTCTTAAAATGGCCAGGGCATCCATGATGGGACTGGGGGAGCGAGGTGGGGCTCGGAGGACTCATGCAGAGCTCCCCATGCAGCGTGGGGCAGTGGGGAGCAGCAAGGACTGCCCCCTGCCTGGCAGCACCCGGTGAGCACATGGGCTTTTCTTTAGAGGGCCGGGAGCTAGGGTGGGGCTGGAAGGGGTCCTCCCACGGTCCCCTCCCCCAGTCCCCCTTCCCCGCTCCTAGTACTTACAAGCTCAGAGTCGGCTGCAGCTCCCTGCTGTGGCCACCAGGGACTGCCCGAATCATCAAAGCTCTTGAATCTTTTCCAAGGATTCGGAGAGCTTTGAAAAAAAAAATCGATTCAGACCTTCAAATCGGTCCCCTGATTCGATTCGGATTCAGAGATTCGGCCACCGAATCGGGACAAATCTCCTCCGGATCAAATCAACACCCGACACTTCACACAGCCCTACTATATACTACTCAAATTGGAGGCTGTAAATTTCAGTCACTCCAACACTTTGTGACCTTTCGTCTACCTTACCATAATAAACTGAGATGCATTACACTCGAGATCCATAGCAGCATATTCCACCAGCCACATTTTTCTGTTAGCTTGTGAGGAATACCTATTTATTTCAAGTACAAATACAATTCCATCAACACTTAAAGTTTCATCCATGAGGAACACTTCATAAGCCTCATTCAGAATATGGACGATTTTTAAAGTATTCCAAAAATTGCTGCTAATGGCATATTTCCAATGGTATGAGCAATGCCAGGAGCCCAAGATAGGATGCTGGCATTTTCGTCACAGTCATATATTTCTGCTCCAAACTGAGCACCACATTAGAAACGCCAGCAGCCTGTCTACAGCAGCAATATAATACCAATGCAGCTGAAACAGCGCTGTCAAATATAGAAAAAAATTTAGAAAATGTTTGTGTAGAAGGGGTCAAAGATTCATCTTCTCCACCTGACATGCACACAACACCATCTATAACTCTTGTTAGTCACTGAAAAGTGAATCACCACGATGCACATTTTCAACAAAAATAGTACCAGTGTGCAAAATCATGCAGTAGACAGCACTAGAATATACCCATATGGTAGTCACGTGTTTTATATAATTCCTTTTTAAAAATACTTAAAAGGCTCCATCTAGTCCACTGTATAAAGAA